GACTTCTTCTCAATGCAGAGAAAAGGTTCCTTGTGATCATTTACAGGTTTCCCTCCTATTTTCAGGGAATATAGTGCTTCTTCCTTTTCTTGAAGAAAGGACCAAATAGGTCTTTTTAGAAGATAAATAATCAATGTCCGAACTTATAACACATCACATGGATTGTCCTTTTAGAAGCAAAAAAGTCTCTCGATTCAATTACAGGAAAGAAGAAGAAGAAAAAAAAAACTCCAGACTGAGAAGAGAAATCAGAGGAAAAGCCAGTTCCCAGGTCCTGTGTGTTCTTGTGTCTTAACCAAACACCTGCAAAAGATTGAGAAAGAGGCGCATTTAGAGAATGCAAACAGGGCAGAGATCCGGACAGCCTGGCGCCAGAGAGGAAGCCGCAGTTTGAACATTTAACCAAACACTCAAAACCCTGGGCTCCAGATGTACCCCGAGCACAACTTCTGCCTTCGCTCAGTGCTTGCATTTCAACCTCTGCTGATGCTTATTACACACTTTATACTACTTTACAGACTAGGTGACACAATGGTCCTTAACACAGTTGATTAGACACTCTTGAAATTAAACACTGCTCTGACGGCACACAATTTTTATTACTTTTTTTTTTTTGGCCATCATTTACAGCATATAATACAAGGCTTATTAAAAAGAGCATTTACCTGATTAACGGTAAAGCGTCCTGCTGTCCTCTGTGATCAAGTCTGATTGAAACTCAGGTGTCTAAAGGAACAAAAAAAAAAAAACAGTTATTTATTAAGTCCGGTTATTTGCACAAAAACATGCAACAAATCAATGCAGCTTTACATTACACATTTATAAATTCACATGCAAAGAGAAGTAGGCTAGATGATTTAGATAGATAGATAGTATAGTATCTATCCAAGGACATTCACCTGTAATGAGAGGATGCTGATGTCTGTGTTGAGTGTTGTCAGGGGTGTTCTGGATGTCCCCTGCCCCGCTCGCGGGTGATGCAGGCTGGTGATTGCGGAATTTGAGTCAAGTGCGATCTGAAGGTCCAGGATATAGTCGATGACATGTTGCAGGATTTCCATTTTGCTCACGTTTTTGTTCTGCGGGATACTCGGCACCAGTTCCTTCAGTTTGGAGTAGCAGTCGTTCATGTTGTACAGCAGGCTTAGGGGATCGTCCACGGGGGTCTTGCTCCGTGAGATTCCCAGACTGTGCTCCGTCACATTCGCGCTGCTTTTCCGGAAAGACCTGACTGGGCTTACTGCCTTCATGTTGACACCTCTGAACGAGACGGTTTCGTTGGAAGAGTCGCTTTTGTGTTCGAGATCTCCTCTTTGCGCTGGGCTGTCGAAGCAAACGCAGTGGATTAGCGAGCTGTCATCGCCGAATATATACCCAGCTGGGTGGGTTGCTCACGCGCTGGTTTGGATCGCGCTGATTGGCGGGAATGGACGCGTCAGTCATCGCCTTCGCGCAACGCTATTGGTCGCTGTGCTGAGCGATCTAAGCCCGCCCATTTGTTCCGCGTTCTTAACCAGTGAAAGCGCGTGTTCAGGGTGGCGCTGACTGCCTTCAGCCTCCACGGATAATGTCTCAAATCAGTGTACCTGTTTCCGATCAAGAGAATTAGCGACTTGCAAGTGTAAGGTTGTTTTCACGCATTCTCTGCGTTTGTTTCTAGTGCATGTATGTAAAATGTATCAAAACAAGCTTCGACTGATTGATGTTATGTCGGACCTCATGAGTTAGGCTTCCCTATACAAGCTTTTATTAGGGTAGGCTATATCTCTATATATTTGATTTCCTTTT